GGGGGGGGGGGTTATTCATTGGTGTAAAATTTGGGATAATAGGATAATTTTTGGAACACTACTTTTTGGTGTTATTCATTGGTGTAATTGGAACTAGGGTAAACATTATGGTGTTATTGGTTTGTTGGGATAATTTGGGGACAAATACCCCACTTCCCCTAAAATTACCCCAACTATAGGGGTGTTTGGCAATCTGAAAGTGAATTTAAAATATGCAAGTTACTTTTTTTTTTACAAATGACTTTTACATCCATGTCAGCACGCAAGTGAAATACAGTGTTTGTTTGAAAAATTAAATTATTATCGAAAGTGCAATGTGAAGATGACGTGGCAAAATAAGATTAATTAGAAAATATAATTAAAATCATTTAATTAAATTACTTACCTTTTTGTCACTTTCATGTGACTTCACCACTTTTTTAGGGGAAGTCAAAGTTGCATTAAATCTTATGTGGCAACTTTCTTACATCTCACTTTCATAACCACTTACATGAAAACAAACACCTTAATTGTTAAATGAAAGTAACTTTCTCACTTTCATCTTTCACTTGCATGCAAACAAACATCCCCTATATATACATTCCTCAATACCCCCCTCAAAATTGTCCCAATTCTTTTGCTGGAACAACACATGGGGTAATCTTGCCCTCTCTCCCCGTCACCTCTTCTTCTAGCTGAGACCCTCCTCCGCTGTCTCCTCCTCCGACGCCAAACCCTCCTTTGCCGCCTCCTCCACCGACGCCAAACCTCCGCCTCCTCTACCGAAGCCAAACCCTCCTCCTCCGCCTCCTCCACCGACGCCAAACCCTCCTTCCATTTCTTTACCAAAACAAGCGACAAAACCCCAGCTTTCCCTCCCTCCATTTCTTTCCAAATCCCCATGGCTCTCCAAACCCTAAGAAGGACGTGGACATGGCGACGCTTGGGAATCTCTGTGTGGATATCGTTTTGAGCGTCCCGAGGTTGCCGCCGGCGAGGAAGGAAGAGAGGACAGCTTATATGGAGCAGCTCGCCGCTTCGCCTCCCGAGGTTGCCGATTCTTCAAAGTATTCTTTTTTTCTTTTTTTAAATACATTTGTGCGTGTGAGTTTGATTGGTTTTGGTTATATTGGGGGGAATGTAAGTTTTAGGAGAAGTTTTCCTATGGTGGTGATGATTCAAAGAGTTCGTCTTTTATAATATGCCAGGCATTACTGCTAGTCTACTACTAATTTTACATCTGGAAAGAAGCAGTGTGAGCTTGAAGGAAATAATTGTTTTAGTTGGTCATTTTGTTGTGTATGCTATGTTCTTCTGCTTATAACATTTGGGTTCTGTAGCTATATTAATAGAGTTATGTAATTGTCTATGGTGTCAATTAAGGAAATTTGTTAGCTAAATATATATATGCTACTTTGATTTGTAAATATATATGCTACTTAATTGATCTATAAATATTATATTATAAAAAGATGTCATACCAATTATCCCACTCAAATTGTCACATTATCCCCTTTTACCCTATTTTATCCCACTCAAATTATCCCATTGGGTAAAATTACCCCATTGGAACAATTTAACCCAACTTGCCCCAAATTATACCAATGAATAGTTCAATAAAAACAATCTAAAAAGTACAAGAAAATATGCCAGATACAAAGGACATCAAGGCAAAAAAGAAAAAGAAAAAAAAACCTAATTCGAGATAGAACAGAAATAATCTTTTTCCCCAGAGAGCCACGGTGCATAGACCAAGTCTCCATCTCGCGCTTAGAATCCTCCTCCTGTCTCATAAAAGGTGTGGGAACGTGGCAATACTGTAGAAAATATGGGCGAAAATCAGGAAATTCGAGCTAAGAAGGCTACAGGAACCCTCGGGTGGGTCGACCGAAGGTGCAAGGGTGGTCGACCGACGCAATCGCCAAAAACTGGATTTTACGAGTTTTGCAGGTCGGTCGACTGATGGGGTGTGACCGATCGACCAAACCCGTGCACATTATAGGGTCGTACTTTGTGTCTCTATCCGGTCGACCGATTGTATATGTGCAGTCGACCGATAAGAGGTTATGGGCCGGGTTTTATTTTCCTGGGCGGTTTTGGATTAGGTGTTTTTATAAAATACAAACACGATTTTTAGGGTTGAATAACCAGAGAATTAGTATTGTTTTGAGCACTTTGAGAGGGAGATATTGTGAGGGGGTTGAGAGCTTTTGTTAGGGTTATATTTGAGTGATTTTGTGAGTTGTAACTCGTTGTATTTCTCCTCCATATAGTGAAATCTCGGGTTATATTTGAGTGATTTTGTGAGTTGTAACTCGTTGTATTTCTCCTCCATATAGTGAAATCTCCCCATCCTCTCCCCGTGGACGTAGGCAATTGCTAACTCGTTGTATTTCTCCTCCATATAGTGAAATCTCCCCATCCTCTCCCCGTGGACGTAGGCAATTGCTCAACCACGTAAATCTTTGTGTTTGGTTTGATTTACGCCGTATTTTGGTGGATTGCACTCCTATTTGGTTTGGTTCTCTTCTCTCATCGTTCGCGGACTCGTTTGGTTTTCGAGCACGCTTCCGCACAGCCCGCAACGAATACCGTCCTTGGAAACCCCACGATCCACAGCCAACTGATGAACTAACCCCCCGGTTTTGTCTTTCATAGCCCCTGAAAATGTTAGAACACCAAGTCATAAAACTAGATAGTCATAAGTCATAAGTGGTTAATGTGATAAAAGTCGCTTTCATATTTGAGAGAGGTACGTTGAAGTTTGTTCAACTTTCAAATTCCTCTTGCGAGAAGAAAAATGGGGGAAACGTTTTCTTTTTTAATTATATTCTTTTATAAAATACTTCTTGCCAGGACACATAGAAGACTAGAACACGGGAATATTAATTCGCTCTTTAACCACCACGCTAAATGCCAAATGCAAACAAAATGGCAAGGGGGAAGGGAACGAAGGGAAAATCGGAATTTATAGTGGGCCGAAATACTTCACAAGCTAATTGGGCCAAAAGTATAGCCACTTGAGATATTTGGCCTTTCCGTATAGAAAAGGGTATTACTAATGCCATCATCGAAATTTATATAAAAGTCCGAGTACCAATCGTCCAATGAACTCAGCACATAGTAATTTCTTTTCACGGTTTTAGAAAATAACAAGGGGTTTATTTGGTTAATGGAATTTGGTTTAAAAACTGACATGAGAATTAAGTCTGTCAAAATTAGTATAGAAGTAGGTGTAAATAGGTCCAAAAACATAGCATCATGCACGTCATGATACGAATCAGAAGAACTGAAACACTTAAGTAAATATTCGATTGTCAAACAAATCGGTTACACATCTGGTTAAATTATGTCTGTTTATGAACCGAATGCTAAAACTATTTATTTACTATTAAATAAACTATTGAATCGGATATAATTATAACTAAGCAAAAAATTAGCAAACCATTTGTTAATTATTTGGTTCATTTCCACCCCTAGACAAAGGCTGGCATTCCTCAACTCAAGGCCATGCATAAACACCTGAGACCAATTAAAGTCTACTCTGTCTCCTTCCACAAATGAGCAGAGCTGGGGAACTTCTCCTTCACCTTGGCAACTATCTCCCGAGCCTCATCGGCCATGGAAATACTCACAAGTCCATCCACAAGTCTCCTCATCGTCGAAAAGCGCGGCACCCAATTCCTCCCCATACTCTCTTTGCACACTCCCAACGCAAACTCAAAATCCCCGCCTTTGCAAAGATAATGAATCAAAGTGAAATAGCAACCGCTCTCAGGAACTAACCCTCTCCTCCTCATCTCCCCGTAAACCCTTTTGGCCTCATCCAAGTCATTCACACCACAAAACCCAAGTATCAAATGATGGTACGTCTCCCAATTCGGCTTCATCTCCTTTAAGAGCTCCTCAGCCTCCCCAACTCTCCCAAGCTTACACAATTCTTGAACCCTAACATTGTAAACAGAAAGCCGGGGATGGCAGTTGTGCTTCTTCATCAAGTTCAGCAATCTGTCGACAAGATCCAATCTTTGATCACGGTAAAGACCAGCAAGAGCTATAGTGAACGAAGTCAGATTGGGCTTAACCCCCTTCCTCGACATTTCATCGAACACCGAGAAGGCAGACGAAGAGGATCCATTTTGGCAGAGGGACTTGAGGAGGGTGTTGTATGTTATGAGATTAGGGGTGATGCGATAGCGAGCGGGGAGATCTCGGAAGAGATCAGGGACGAGGCCGTGGTTGTCGGAGAGGATGCAGGCGAATAAAAGGGCGTTGAGGGACTGAGTAGTGTTGCTTTTGTTGGCCCGGAACGTGGAGATGGCGTCGTCGAGCATGTTGCTTGGCCCGAAGAGGAGGATGGGGAGGTGGAGGGGAAGGGGAGGGAGGGGGAGGTGAGGAGGGAGCGGATGGAGGAGGAGGAGTGGTGGAGGAGAGGGAGGTGATGGCGGCGGAGAGAATGGAGCGGTCGAGATGAGAGAAGGGGGTGGTTTTGTTGAGAAGAATGAGGTGCATATGGAGAGGATTCGTCTGGGTTTTTTTCGGATTTTAGGAGGGAAAGGGCTCTTTCCACTCTGGCTCGGCTGCCGCGGACATGGAGCTGTTGAATTGGAGCCAAGAAAGGAGAAATGGCGGCGGCTGCAGCGGCGGAGAGGAGGAGTGAGATGAAACATCGTGCGATTGAGAAGTTGAAGACGCCGCCGCCCTGCACGCGTAAAAAACAGAAGAGAGCGGGCCGGAGGGGACGGGAGATAGATGCTGCGGATGGGGCAAAGCCAGATGGTGTTTATGTATACCCTTGGCATCATGCATAATTGTAAAATTATCAAAATATATATATTTGCAAAATTACAGCTTTGTCTGTGTTGATGTCTGATATCAAACATCAGAATTTAGCGTGAGTTATGTAGGATTTTAGAATTCCTCAATCTTCTCCGTTGGTTGATTATTGGTCACAGTTCTGCACACGAAAACACGTAAAAGGATCGGAGTTGGGATATTCGGGGATGCCTCCGACGGTCAAGTCAGTAGTGATGTTAAGTGGAGGATAAAAGTATAAATTCTATGTGTTATGTTGCAAAAGATTGCTTACCTTCATGCAGTAGGTAGTGCACCCGTTTATAGCAGATCCAGGAGGGTAATTTCGTAACTTCGATCGAGTCCAAGCAGACGGCTTATTATATTTTACAAGCGTCGGCTGTAGGTGGTACGAGTCACCTCTGCGATTAATGTGATGGTGACAATGATGATGGGGCGCAATAAGTCATTAATACTTTTGGGGTTGATGTAATGATGATTCTGACCATGTATTTAATGTGATAGTGATCGGTTCTCGGTGTGGAGTTCGTGAATGACCACCTTTCGTCTCAATTTTGCGAGAGAGTAGATAAACAATGCCTTTTAACTCGGCCATTCTGGATTGAGAGCTCTTTGACTTGGTCTTGCGAAATGAAGAGGCATTGAGTCAGCCTTAAACATAGAACCAGAGTGAGGACACCTTTCGACTCGAGCCTCGTTGGAAAGAGTCAAGTGATGGCGTTATTTGACTGGTCTTGTGAAGGGCCGAGTTTATTCGGTACATTAGCTAATACATGACAAGTGCCAACCATTGGGAGAGGATTAACACTTAGCCATTTTCATATTGTAACAATCTGTATTTTCAAAACTACTTCCAACCAATAAATATCAACTTCAACATGCTAACACGTAACTGTAATGTAAAAATATCATGAAAGAATTGTTAAAATTTTACTCGTCATATTTAACAAATTCAATGATTTGTTGATTTGAAGAAATTTTTTCCATCTAAAGTTAATGATGTAAAGGTGGTTTTGCATATATTGAGATTTGGCAATAGTTTTGTAGTTACACATGATTTAGAAGGCGCGTATATTCAAGAAGACTCAAAGCCCGCTAGGCCATTCGGTCCACTTGAATATCCCCAATTTAGGCTCCCCTCTTTTATTTTTGTTATTATTATTATTATGTACAAAAGGCCGAGCCCAGCTTGGATTCATTTGGATCGTCATTATTGATCACTTGGAGAACAGGATCCAACAACGGAAAGGACGGGACGTGTTAGTTACAAAGTTTGAAGAACCCAAATATATATTTCAAGAAAAATCATGTGTAATCAAAGAGGGGAAAAAAAAAGAAAATGAAAAAAAGAGTATGAATCCATGCAAGGTGTTCCGAGCCGTAGGGATGTCAAGTTAAGTGACGGTTTTAACATTTCACCGTTTCCTTAATGGCTTAGATGAGCCTCACGTAAATAGGTTGGTCTGATAGGAGCTCTACTTTAAAAAAATAGTTCTCCTATAATTGTTTATTCATGAAAATGTACGGGTAATTATACACCGTCCAACACAAATTAGAGATAACTCCAAACTTCTATTTTGATTCTATTCTATTAAATTTATAGTCTTCTTAAGTAATATTATCTTCAGTTTTTAGAGTTTTAGTTATCTACTAATTTCCTAGAGATAATCGCCCTTCGCGTTTGCTCCGCAACTCCGCGCCAATCAATGGCCAAGTTAATCTTATTCGTGGATATATTCTAGTGCTCGTAGGCGATGGCAACAGCTTTGATGACAATGTATCTCACCGAATTGGCCAAGACGTCACCATCCAGAACTCTCAACTTGTGCACCACCGAACTAGGTGATAATTTTGATAGTGATATATAGAAGAAGTGTTGATCTGAGCTCAAAGACATGAAAGCAATTAAATTTGATTTGAGTCACCGTTCAATTATTTGGCGAGCCATGTTGTATTTGAAGATTGTAATAAGATGGGAAATTTCTTTATACGTACGATCTCACTTTATTTGGAAATTGGATACACACGGAAATGGATAAATACAAGCCCATCTCGCATTAATTTTTTTGTTGATAATCACAAACTTGGATAGGAATTTAGAAATAACATCTAACCGTTTAAGATTGTAGGTTGACTCTCTAAGAGGTTCAGCTGATTGTCGACAAGTGGGGTCGCATTTTTTATCAGGTTATAACTCAAGTGTGAAAAAAGTTCATTGCGAAGCAGCGTAAGTCAATAATCGTTATAAGGCCCCGTTAGATTATAGATAGTCGAGATTCATTTAATTCTTATAAGTTTTTTACCAACATTTATAAAGTTCTTTGCCAATCCCAAAACTGTTACTTAGATTATAGATAGTAGAGATTCATTTAATTCTTATAAGTTTTTTACCAACATTTATTAAGTTCTTTGCCAATCCCGACAAGTTTTGGAGAAAGGGAAAATTACACTAGACACCCAAAAACTTTCAAACTTTTCAGTAGACACCCAGTAATGTTTTTTGCGGAAAACGCCCAATATCTTCAGTATGTATAACCGAATGCCACACTCGGGAATGTTATTGATCTGTGGTTTACTAGTCACCATCAGGCATAAAGACTATTTGTGAATGAATGAAGAAAAACACGCGCCGTGTCATGTGAGCAAAATTGTTGGTGGCGGATTGACATCAAAGAAGCCCAAGAGTTATTTCGTACGTGATGTTGAGTAGTTGAAAAACTAAATGTCGGGAAGTCTACGGAGAGAGACAAAAACATCATAAGTAGATGCATATGGGGGAAAGAAGAAAATAATTTCAAAGCTTGGAATTGTTGGTGCTGATGATGAGTTTCGTGACTTATCCATTTTGGCTTGCTTTATGCAACCTTTTCTTGTTATTAAAAGCGATACTTCTCTTATCTTCTAGGATCACACTAATTTAATTTTTCTTAGTTGGAAATTCATGCAGGTCTCCGACCAGGCTTCTCGATTTTATCACTGATAGCAGTAACAGCCATTAAAAGCTTAAAAGAATGAGGGGTTCCCAAAAACTTCTTAATATGTGAAAAAGGAGGTTATTATAGCCAATTTAATTCTTTAAACTCATTTGTGAACATAAATTTATTTATATACTAAAGCTATTGCCCTCAAATTATTAAAATTACTTTTAGATCCTTCATTTCTTATATTATTTTGAAATGAGTATCCTTGACAAAGAGTAGAATTAATAATTGGAGTCATTAATTTTTTAAAAAAAATTTACAAGAATGCTGAAACCTAATAACAAATTCTGTGAGTTGTGGTATTTATTTGAAAGTGCGTAATTCATGTATATTACAACTCCTAAAAATACTTTTATCCCCAAATTGAAGAAGATTTATTTTTCTAAGAAGAGTACTTAACCATTATTTTCCGACAATTTTGCTAGTTCTTATACTAAAGAATAAGAAAAATAATAGAATTAAGTAGAAATTTGAGTTTATCATCTGTCAGGCCCAAATGTTAAATTAAATAAGCCAGTATCTATATCATCAAGGCTACATTCAGAACAAACAATAAAAAGATAAAAACTTAATTAAAGTCACTATGTTCTTGAAAATTCATCTAAGTAATTTTCTCCGTCCTATGTTCTTGCTGTTTAATTAATTCTCTTGAAATTAAGATCCTTACCAAAGTTGAAGAGTTATACTTTCTAGCATCTACATTTTCATAAACGCGAAGTCAGAGATACTTGAGAAAACTGAAAATAGCACAAACTCGTAAACATACATCACAAATTCACAATCCCGCTTAACAAACCAAGAAAAGTAAATGATAAACCCAACAAAAATTAAGCCAAAAAAAGGAGGAAAAAAACACAAACCCGAAAATAGTGAAATGCATCTAACTATGCCATTAATTACCTTTACACACCCAATCACCACCTTAAATTAAATAAACCAAATGAAAACACACCTTAATCAAACCAAAACCTTGGTCCTAATTCTCTTGACCCCAACAGCGTAACTCCTACTTCTAGGAAATAACAAATCGGATCCCACCTTAACATCCTCTTTAAACTCGCAAGGCTCATCCTCATCAATTCTTCCGACCACAACGCTCTGGCTTCGCCTAACTGGGCCTTGGACCCGGCCCACCGACGCAGCCCGTATTAGCTCGCGGAGATCGTCGTCGCTGGCGCTCGACCTCGCCGAGTTACTATAAACGCAGTTGAGCTCGGTGAAGGACGGGTAGGCCAACGCACCCGCGGACTGAACTCTACCCGCGCACCCGTTCATGCCCTTAATGTACAAGTCGCGGACGCTGGTCAGGACTCGGATTGGGGCTCTCAAGCACTTGCCTAGTTTGCTTGTTGCCTTCATGATTCAATGTTTTTAATAGAAGATTCTGGTGATTATATTGAGAGGGGAAAAAATAGTGAGAAATTGAGAAGGGGGGGTGATGGTTCAGGTGGTTATAAAGGATTTGGAGGAGGAGGTGGAGGTGGGGCTCCAAATAAATTTTTTAGGTGGCGTGTGAATATTGTTTGGTTGGTGACCTGGATAATTGGAGGTAAAGATTATTGAAATGTTAGATATGAAATGGATAAATAAGGGGAAAAGATGGATATGGAGATTTTTACAATAGATATTTTTGTTTTACTGGATAGTATTATTCTTTATCAGATTTAAAATGATTAGACGATAGTTGAATAGATAATCTCGAGTAAGGATTCTATCATAATGCCCACAGGAAAAGATTGATCCATACAATTCAGAGATAGTTACTTTGAAAATTACAAATCTTTTATTTGTGGTGTAGACCATCCCAATCTCATAGGGATGTTTCTGATAAGATATTATCTTCAAATAGATAATACTATACCCATAAAGGATAAACATATTAATGTTAGCACATGAGAATTATTACATGATTAGATAATGCCTCTATCTGTAAAGGATTAATATGGCACTAAACATAATAACGAAATGGATAAATAGGAAAAACATGGGTACAGACATGTTAAATTTTTTTATTGGATAACCTTTCTCTTGATCTGATTAAATGATTGGTTGATACTAGTGTTAGTTGAGCAGATAAATTCTTAGAATATATAATGCTTCTATCCGTAAAGGATGATCAAAATGAAAATTATATCCTGAAAAATTCTTTTTAGATTGAAAATTATATGATAAACCATTGGACATTTTCCTTTTGTTAGTGATAGCTATCTTAGATTTGGGTCAAAGTGTGCTTTCTTTTTAGGATGAAATTTGACATGTGATCATCTATAATTATGGATGTTTTTCTTTTCCCGAGGGGCGACGCTTGTTTTTCAAACAAAGTTGATGGGAGTTGAGATAAGCACAAAGAAGCGGCGGCGCCCAAAGGGCAAAAACCCACGGTTTTGAGATGAGTCTCCGTCATCATTGTCAATTAGCTAGCAAGCAAACAAATCTAAACGCATAAATTATATATAATAATATATGCACAATCTTTTTTGGGAAAAATGTGTCCAGGCCCCAAAAGCAGAATGTTCATGTGACCCGCCCCCTTGTATTTTGCCCCATGTGATTTAGCCCCAAATACACATTGTATTTGTGTTAAGGCCCCAAAGTACCAGATCCTGAGAAAAACCCAACAAAAGTTACAAATTTACCCTTTGATTTGATTGAGCTTGGTAACTGCGCCCATCCCTTTAACCCCATCTCTCTCTCTCTCTCTCTCTCCACTCTATCTCTCAGCTTCTCCTTCTCTCTCACTTCCGTCATGGCCGCTGAAAATGATCAGACTGAGGAGGTCGTGGAAGGCGAAGGCGAGGACGGTGGTCATGGAGTCGGAGGTCGGGGAGTCATCTTAGAAACAGCTCGTGAACGCGGGTTCAACAACAAACACGGAACATGGTCCGGGGACCCGCGAGCTGACGGAGCCTGGGGCTTTGGTCTGATGCATCGTTGTTCTCCCCTTTCTAGGTTACGGAATATCTTTACCCAAATCAATGTCTTAATCAAGATAGTGCTCTTGTTTTCTTGTAATTTATGAAGGGAATCGATATTGGATTTTTGTAGTTTTTCTCTTTCATTTAATTGAAATGAGATCTCCTTGGATTCTTGAACAGCAGTTTGGGTTTTTCTTTAATGCATTTTTCTTGTGTGATTTGGTGATTGACAGAGTTTTGTATAAGAGATTAACAGCAGAAATTCAAAAGCTCACATTGAATCTTCAGACATATCGACATTTAGCTAAAAATTGAAGATAATGTGATTAAAAGTCGACTAAAGAATCTAAGAACCTGTGAATTTGAAAGGGGGGTCAAGGAAAATTAGAACTATAAATGTTAGTTCTAAGGGCTGTTATGTTAGTTCTAAGGGCTGGAATGTTAGTTCTAATGGCTAGAACTAACAAAGAGCCCAATGTTAGTTCTAAGGACTGTTATGTTAGTTCTAAGAGCTGGAATGTTAGTTCTAATGGCTAGAACTAACAAAGAGCCCAAGAGGGCTGGAATGTTAGTTCTAATGGCTAGAACTAACATTGGGCTAACTAACAAAGAACTCAATGTTAGTTCTAAGGGCTGGAATGTTAGGCCCAAGGCCCAATCAAAGACCTTTAAATATATATTGTAGTTGCATGGGCTTGAACTCCTAACCTCCTCTCCAAATTCCCAAGCTTTACCACTAGACCAAGTAGCCAAAGTGTTAATGTTAGTTCCACTTAAAGTTAGCTCTTACTTGCCATTAGAACTAACATAAAATAAGTTAGAACTAACATGAAAATAAGTTAGAACTAACATGAAATAAGTTAGAACTAACATGAGTTAGCTATTGATAGAGTTTAAAAAATGGCATAAATAACTAGAGTTAGCTCATGTTTGTTCTATCGAAGCTCATGTATAAATTAGAACTAACTTGTTATAAAATAGAACTAACTTGCTATAAGTTAGAACTAACTTGGGATAAATTAGAACTAATGTGGTTAAAATTAGAACTAACTTGTTATAAGATAGGACTAACTTGATATAAATTAGAGCTAACTTGTTATAAAATAGAACTAACTTTGTATAAATTAGAACTAATTTGTTATAAAATAGAACTAACTTGGTATAATTAGAACTAACTTGGGATAAATTAGAACTAATGTGGTTAAAATTAGAACTAACTTGTTATAAGATAGGACTAACTTGGTATAAATTAGAACTAATTTGTTATAAAATAGAACTAACTTTGTATAAATTAGAACTAATTTGTTATAAAATAGAACTAACTTGGTATAATTAGAACTGACTTGGGATAAATTAGAACTAATATGGTTAAAATTAGAACTAACTTATTATATGAGATAGAACAAACTTTGTATAAATTAGATATAACATGGTATAAAATAGAACTAACGTGGTATAATTTAGAACTAACTTGTTATAAAATAACGCTTAATGTGGTATAAAATAGAACTAACTTGCTATAAGTTACAACTAACTTGGTGAACTAATACTGTGCAGAATAGAACTAACACTCTACAGATTAGAACTAACACTGTGCAGATTAGAACTAACACTCTACAGAATAGAACTAACACTGTGCAGATTAGAACTAACACTCTACAGAACGGAACTAACACTGTGCAGAATAGAACTAACACTCTACAGATTAGAACTAACACTGTGCAGATTAGAACTAACACTCTACAGAATAGAACTAACACTGTGCAGATTAGAACTAACACTCTACAGAATAGAACTAACACTGTGCAGATTAGAACTAACACTCTACAGAATAGAACTAACACTGTGCAGATTAGAACTAACACTCTACAGAATAGAACTAACACTGTGCAGATTAGAACTAACACTCTACAGAATAGAACTAACACTGTGCAGATTAGAACTAACACTCTACAGAATAGAACTAACACTGTGCAGATTAGAACTAACACTCTACAGAATAGAACTAACACTGTGCAGATTAGAACTAACACTCTACAGAATAGAACTAACACTGTGCAGATTAGAACTAACACTCTACAGAATAGAACTAACACTGTGCAGATTAGAACTAACACTCTACAGAATAGAACTAACACTGTGCAGATTAGAACTAACACTCTACAGAATAGAACTAACACTGTGCAGATTAGAACTAACACTCTACAGAATAGAACTAACACTGTGCAGATTAGAACTAACACTCTACAGAATAGAACTAACACTGTGCAGATTAGAACTAACACTCTACAGAATAGAACTAACACTGTGCAGATTAGAACTAACACGCTACAGAATAGATCTAACATGGTATAGATTAGAACTAACACGCTCCAGAATAGAATTAACATTGTATAATTTAGAGATAGCTTGTTATAAAATAGAACTAACTTGTATAAATTAGAACTAACTTGGCATAAATTAGAACTAACGTGGCATAAAATTAGAACTAACATGGTATAAAATTAGAACTAACTTGTTATAAAATAGAACTAACTTTGTATAAATTAGAACTAATGTGGTTAGTTCTAATTTTTACCAGCTCGTGTTAGTTTTAATTTATTTAATGTGTTAGTTCTAGTGTTAGTTCTAACAGATATCGTGTTAGTTGTAATTTATTTAAGTCATTAGTTCTACGTAATTGTTGGGTCTAAACGCCATGTTAGTTCTATTTAATGATGTGTTAGTTCTAGCTTCTCTAGTGTTAGTTCTAACTGGTATCGTGTTAGTTCTAATTTATTTAAGTCGTTAGTTCCAGCGTAATTGTTAGGTCTAAATGTCATATTACTTCTACTTGATGATGTGTTAGTTCTAGCTTCTCCAGTATCAATTCTAACAGGTATCGTGTCAGTCCTAACAGGAGCTCAACTAGAACTAATATAGCCACTAGAACTAACGCTTATATTAGAACCAACACTAGCTGGAAGTAGAACTAACATTAAATAAGTCAGAACTAAATTAGAACTAACATAGAACAACATAAAATAAGTTAGAACAAACATTAAATAACTTAGAACTAACATTAGAACTAAAATGAATTAGAACTAAATTAGAACTAACATAAAATAAGTTAGAACTAACATTAAATAACTTAGAACTAACATTAAATAACTTAGAACTAACATGAGTTATTGCTCATGATAGAGTTCAAAAAAGGGCGGGAAATTTCCCTCTATTTTTTCCATCAGATTGCATTAATGGGCGTGACTTTCCATGTAGTTTGTGGACCAGACGTCTAGGGAAGATAAGTGGAGGGGTAATTTCGGGTTTTTTTTCAAAATACAATCTCTTTTTTTATACTGCTGACGTGGAGGGGCCTTAAAATATTAAATGGTACTTTTTGGGGCTGAATCACATGGGGCAAAATACAAGGGGGCGGGTCACATGAACATTCTGCTTTTGGGGCCTGGACACATTTTTCCCATCTTTTTTCCTTTTTATATAATCTCTTAAAAATGATCTATTTGAAA